CCTCCCGTTGCTTGGTGCTCGTGCTCATAACCAGTAGCCGGGGCCAGTGGCCAATGTCGCCTCGCCATGGGCATCGTTCCGGCCTCCATTTGTTGCCAAGACAATTATAATCCGCATGGCCAGGCTACATAATAATAAATTTATTACAGATTTCCGTCTGATTTGTTGTAAGGAATTTTCCAGCAACAGAAGCCCAGCAGCACCCACTGTGAGACAAATAGAGAATACTTAAATGGTCTCCTCTCTCCGGTGCCTTAAACGATGTCGGCAGATAGTACGATAAATCAGTAAGGATCGGTGGAGATATTTGGGATGTGGGAGGAGAATCTCAGCAGAGAAGGGGAAGCAAAGTTGTTTTGGTAACAAATTGGTAACAAATGTTCAAGACAAATTAAGTAAAGTTAATGCTTTCTAATATAAGTATTTAAATCAGATTGATTTATCTTTATAAGAGGCATAGAAAAATGTTTACCTATTCTTTTATTATAACAATTTGCTATCTATGATCTCCATATTAAAATGCAACTAAATAGTTCTTGATTTATATCCTAATACTAAGGTTTAACTACTTTTTAGGCGAAAGGATATAATATACAATGTGTATTGTTATTTCCCAATCCAAAATATATGTTTCGTTCGAAAAACCAGATACTTTTAAGGCTCATAAATTTATCATTTACAAAAATCCCAATCGGATGGAATCAAAAGGAAGATTTCCAGCCATTCACCAAACCCACTTGACCATTCATCACTCGAGTCTTTCCATTCAACCAATCCAACTTCTAACGGTTCAAGCAGCCCACTCAACCTCTGCCTAAGCTCTCTGTAAAACTCACCTCACCTGAGTCACCACTCACAGGTAAACCCGTTCCGTGTGTGTGCGCACGCTTGTGTGTGTGTGTGTGTCTGTGTGTGTTACCCGCCCTCTTAAAGCCGCTTTGGCCAATCAGCGATTAGCGGGCCGAGAGCCACGGGACACGAGCCAAGAGGCCAAGTGCAGCGGCATTTCCGAATGCGATTTGGCCAGGCGGGAAAGTAAACACAAAACAAGGGGATCTTGGAATCGGAGGGTGTCGTAAATAAAATGTCGCCGATACGAAAAACAGAAGAGGGAAATTATTTACGACTGCTGCACTTTTTTTGTTTTTTTTTACCAAGCTGCAAGGCACTCAGAAAAATAAATGGGTCAAAAGGAGTAAAAGCCAAAGTCAATTCAATACCGTAAAGTAGTAAAATTCTTGAAGAAATTATTTGGTCTTAAAATAAAGTTATGTTTCAATCCATTTTGTTAAAAGTGAATTAATAAAATAAAGAGAAATAATAGATATACAAAACATGATATGATATAATATTTAAATGCTGATCAAATTTAAAACCATTATTTTAAAATCCTATAAAATATTATATGTATGTTAAAATTTTATATATAATAAGATAAATAATAAAATATATATGGGAATATAAAGCTTAAAGTACATAGATATTTGTAAAAGCAAAGTTTCATTAAGTTTCGCTAGCTCGTAGTATTTTTTTCTCATTTTCATATCTACAAATTGCAAAGAAATGAAAAGGTAAACAAACGCGGATTTGCAACTCGCCAAATGTCAAAATTGAGAGTCAACAAGTGTGGCTCGTATCTAATTAAGAACTCTCTCCCTTTTAGGTTCCACTTTTCATCGCCAGAGCACAACATCTCTGTCCTCGTCTTGCTCTCGCCAAAAAATTTCGCGATCGGGCATTGATTTAACGCTTTGAGTATCGATATATCCTTGTACCCACTGAGTACCAAAGCCCACCGGGAGAGGGAGTGATCGATACGCGATTCTGGAGGGTGGCGATATTTTGCGATGTTTCGCGATGTTTAGGCCTGTTGGCGATATGGACGATGTTGCGATGTTCTAAGGTTCCACTCATCACCGCCAGAGCAAACAAGGAGAAATTCGAGGCTAAAGACAATAAGAAAATAGTGTTGTTTCACTCACCCACAAACATGGCGTATTGCTGTAGGTACATACAAATTAAAAGCCGAAGCACACACAAAAAAAAAAGAAAAAAAAAACCTTCTACATTTTCGAAGGCATTGCACAGATTTTATGCACACATTTGTTGCACTTGCACATATAAAAAAACAACAAAATTAACTAGGCATCAATAGCCACCGCACCGATCTTGGCTATAAATGAGTTAAAAACGAAAAACACGAAAACCCGACAACGGCTCGGCTGCTCCCACTTCAATTACACTTTTCACTGTGGCGCTCGCTGTTTTTCCGCACTTTTGGCACCTGCCCACTAGTCGGCCGCTGTACTTTTCGATTTATATCACTTTTAACCGCCGCTGTGACCTCCTGCATGGAGATTTAATAATTTTTCCGTTTTTTCGGCACTCAGCTATCCTTCGTGTCGCCCGTCTGCATTGAAACTAGAGGTGCAAGAGCATCGATACTAGTACCGATGGCTTGAGCACTGATTTAACGTTTTGAGTATCGATATATCGTGGTCCTTACTGAGTACCAAAGCCCACCGGGAGAGGGAGTGATCGCTCCGCTGTACTGTATCTGATGGAAAGGCGCTAGATTGTATGTAATTTTCCTAATTGGGTAATATGAAATAAATATTTCATAAGTAATATATATATAACAAACATAAATACTTTTCTCTGAGTGTATACCGCCACGACTGCGCATATCAGACGATGATAGATGTTAGCGGCATAAGGTGAATCCGTTACACAGCCATAGGGGTTGCGGGAGTGACCCGAAAGGGGCAGAGGCACGCGCCCTTAGCCATCGAGGAGGAGGAGGAGAAGGAGGAGGGAGAAACGCCGCCAAGCGCAACGATGCCACCGACTTGAGCCGGCCCTCATCACCAGTTCGAAATTCCCCCATTTTGGCCCGCTTTTCAGGCCTGGTAGTTACTACGTACGCAGCACGCTTCGCTAGATCGGCAGAGGCACCCGTGGCGGACTCGTGTCCATTGGAATGTCAGTGTGGCACATGTCCTTTCAAGGAAATTGCGCCAAAAAAACAGATGAGGGAAGGGGATATAGAAAAATTGCCGACGCCGTCGAAGGAAAAGGATCGTTAAATGTGGAAGTGTCTTCTTCTTGACTTGTTTTCTAGGCAGGTGTGGCCCGAGCCAAGGATACTCTTAGATAAACTGGTATCTTGGCGGCCAGGACGAGGTGGCCAAGCGTGGCGAAGGAGGACCCCGAACTGAAGAGAAGGATAAGCTTGGGCTGGGAGAAAAGGTGCAGCTAGCCAGGCGAGGGAGAAAGTGGCAGGTGCTGGTCTGTAGAGAGTTTTTTTAATGTGAAGGATCCAACAAGGACTTATAATTGCTAAGAGTTCTTAATTGCATTTGGTAAATAAATAATACAAAGGATTGAGTTCATAACTAAGAAAATCTATCAGGACTTTGAAATCTTCGGACTAAAACTGTATATTTTTTAATAAAAACTTAATACCATACATATTGTTTGCATTAAGGAATCTATATATATGTTTGTAATACCAATCATAAGTTTCTGCCCATCAGATACCCCAAGGATCGTCTAAAAAATTATCATTCTTTAAATCGATTTCAAAAACTCAGAGCTAAGTCAAAAATCCTTTATTTTTAATTCGATAAGCGTTCCTATGTTAGTTTTTTTTTAGGTTAATAAAACTGCATACTCAGTTTAAATGTAATATAATGGAATTTAAAATCATGTTTTTATTTTCCTTAAATTCCAAGTATTGTTCAACAAACTTAATCACGTAAACAGTTATAAAGGGAAGATTAAGCATAAACCGCAATTAAAATCTAAAACCTACTCAAATATCCTTGCAATTTTGACCTCAAATTCTTTTTTAATTTAAAGAGTTTATTGTTTTGATCATTTCTCAACTTGTCTTGTTACTAATTATTAATATGCCTTAAAAAAATGTATTTTTAATTTATAAAAAACCATACGTATCTATTTCCAATCTTGTCTAAATCTAAATGCAATCGAGGCATAATCTAAAACAATTCCCAACAAATATAAAATGCACTCATTTCGAGTGGCCGCGACAGCTGTTAGATCCACTGATCCATCCACATAAATATTTGTAAGTCACCCCTCCCGGTTGCCGCCTTCGTCCTTCGACCTCGATCCTTTATCCTTTATCCTTCCCTCGCCTCTGGAGTATTTCCAAGCCAACAACAGTTGGTGGCAGCAGAAACAACGGCAACAGCCAAGAGCAATTGTAACAGTTACACGGCAGCGGGAAAAGGACAACAACGAACGCCCGCCAAAGTCGAGCTGCATACCAATTAGTAGGGAAACGCGTGCTGCCAAACAACAGAGCCAGAAGCCAGGAGCGGGAGAGCTCACGATCGGTATCAGTTCAGGGATGAGGAGGAGCAGGAGCAGTGTTGGAGGAGCACAACTCCTAACTGTGCGTCTTGACCCTTACAACATGCAGGACAACAGCAGCAACAGCAACAGCAGCAGCAGCAGCAGCAGAGGCAGCGACAGAGGCAGAGAGGCAACTGCAACAGCCGCCAACTGCCGCCAAAGGTGAAAAACCAGAGTTGGCAACACACACACACTACACACACACAGTCAAGGGCCAGAGCCACCACCAAAAGAGTCAACACCAACACCAGCGAGGGCTCGTTTTGATTCGGCTTGCTGCCACACTCACACACTCACAACAGAGCTCGATTTGTACCTTTATTTTTTTCGGGCCAAGTCGCTTCACCGTTGGCTCAATTTAGAACCGAGCAATCGGCCAAAGATTCAGTCAGGTGCGAAGCACCGAGCGATACGGACGTGTTCGCCAGTTCCAGTGAGCCCAAGAATTCCGCACAGTCGACATTTTTGAAAGCCAAATCAAAAAGATCTCTGCGATCGAAAGTGAGATTTTGTGTGCAAAGTGAAAAATCGAATATCAATCCCCAGGATCACTTCAGAAATTAGTAGAAAGATTACATCTTTCAAAGTTATTGTAGCCAAGTGAGAATATCGAGATCAATATGAATCATTTATCGCCGCCACCGTCGCCGCACTCGCAGCAGCCAAGTCCAGCTTACAATGGAGGAGCTGCCCTGGACAAGCAGTGGATGCAAAGGGCATCCGCCTTTAACACAGTGATTGCATCCGCTGCTGCCCAGAAATTGAATGGAAGAGGTGAGTTTAAGAGATGGAGATTGATCTTAGAGAAGGATACGAATCAGGAAAGAAATTAGGGGATTGATTTAGGATATTAAAAGGATACAGAAACGATAGATGGATAGATTGATAGAATAGCTGATTCAAGGATTTCCAAGTCAGAATCCATGCTCATGAATTACAGAACTAAAGAAACCTTATAGAAATTAGTTAGGAACAACTAGAAATTTAACGCAATTAAAAGTAATGATGGTCTTAAGGACCTTTTCTTTCAAATACCTTTTTAGCTACTCTTTTAAAAGAAACTATTCTAATATATTTTGTACAATTTAAATTCAATTTATTGAAAGCTTAGATAGAGCCAACTGCTAGGAAATTAAACCTAACTTTAAACTACATGAAAGAAGTCTGAAAATGATCTTAGACTCACAAGAGAGATCTCAAGGATATCTTTTAACCAAAACTCTTTTCGTTAATTTCTTTCTCCCAGATCTTCCCTTCCTGTACAACCCGTTGCTCTACTCCAGTGCCCTGCTCTGGCCACAGTTCCTTCTATCCTCGGCCACGGCTTTGGGTACGCCTCTAACACCCATGACCCCCAAGTCGCCAGCCTCCGTGGTGCTGGGTCAGCGGGATCGTGACTATGCTTTGACCCCCGAAAAGGAGCATGAGCTGCAGCTTAGCAGCAACAATAATAATAACAGCAGCAGCAGTGAGTTGGCCAGACAGGAGCAGGAGCAGGACGAAGACATGCCGCTAAATCTAAGCACCAAGCATCGTATGAAGTCGGATCTGTGTGACCAGGAGCAGTATCACAATCGCAGCAGCAGCAACAGCAGCAGCCACAACAGCAGCCGGAGCAGCTCCAGCAGCGGTGAGGTGGAGCCACTGCATCCAATGCAGGCTCTGAATGTGACTCCACCGCCACTCAGGGCGGTCAATCTAAAGAGTTCCGGAGGTGGAACACCGCAGCAGCAGCGCCAGCGATCGCAGGGTAATATCATTTGGTCACCGGCCTCGATGTGTGAGAGATCAGCACGCCGGGAGCAGTATGCTCTGAAAATGGAGAACGGAGAGGAGGATGAGGAAGAGGAGGAGAACCAAGTGGATCCCATAGTGAGAAAATTCAAGTACGAGCGCCGAACAGCCTCCATATCCTCCCTGCAGTCGCCAATCTCCTCGCTATCCGCTCCATCAACGAATCCCGTTCGGGATCTGGAGTTCGACGTGGCCCAGCAGCAGTTGTATGCCCATCGCAGTGCCTTTATGGCTGGACTGACGGGCAACAATCTGGAGCTGCTCACCCAGCATCTCAAGTCCCAGCAGCAGCAACAGCAGCAGCAGCAGCAACAGCAACAGCATCAGCAGCAACAGCCCCATCGCATCAAGGATGAGCAGCAGGAGAATCGTTCGGCAGCCGCTCTCATGGGCCTGGTGGCCGCCGCCGAATTCGGCTATATGCGTAATCAACACCAACAGCCGCAGCAGCAGCAGCAGCAGTTGCATCATCATCAGCAGCAGCAACAGCAGCAGCATCACCAGCAGCAACATCCTGACTCGACGGCCACAGATGTTGCGCGTCGCTCGTCCAGCTCCTCTTCATACCAAGGCGAAGGCGAGGAGAAGCGCAGCGGCAGGAACTTCCAGGTAAGAAGTCTTAAACAGGATATTATAAAAAAAATCGAGGGAAAATCGAGGGCAAATCGCTTGAAAAATCTCCGACCTAATCTAATGGGTTTATCACGTGTATCGATAGCCTCCTCGCGTTTCCATTGCATAAGCATTGCGTGCTTGCGACAATTCCCCTGTGTTAATTGTTTCATATTTTGTCCTCGAAAGGTTTTAATTGTCCCCGTGGCCAAAAAGGAAATAGCCCACCACTTTCAATTTGGAAAAGTGGCACAGCAAATACTGTCATAAAAATTGGTAATACAAAACCAAAAAGAGATAGCGAGCTCTATGGAAATTCAATTAAGTCCCATCGAAATCACGCAATTAGTTAATCAAATAATTTTGATTAGTGCGAGGTGGAGTGGGGGAAGATTTATGTACGAATTACAATTATAAGTGTCATTTCGTTATTAAATTGTTCTGCCATGAAGCAAGCTAAGGGCACACGACCCCATGAAACCCGAGAAGGCTTCGCAGGGAGTAGGGATCGGGGTCAGACCTTATGCCTACCCCCGATGTCATATTGAGTTTATATCCATCAACACCCGCCGCGAGTCCTTCGTTTCTTGTTTTTTTTCACACATTCGTTGAGGGTCAATGTGAAATGCGATAGGTTTCCAGGCTGCAGGACCTGGATCGACATATGGCCAACGGGAGAAGACAGTTGCCGGAGTCATTGGCGCAGGCGCGGGCACTCTTTTCTCTGAGTTTTATATACACTTTATTTTTTCTGTAATTCGTGCTTTACATCTGTTCCATATAGGAGGCCCACCCGGCTGACTCAGACTTTGGGGTTTCTCCTTCACTTTTTTTTTCTTCAAGTTTTGCCAACTTCCGTTCCGTTGTCGAAGCTAAGCAAATTGACATTACGGCTCAAGCCGCGAGCGCAGCTTAACAATATAGCAACTAATTGGGTCTCCAAAGTCTAGCCAGTGTGAATATGGTCCACTCCATTCCGAATGCAATGCGCAAATAGAAAATCCCAAAAACAACGCAGGAAAAAATATAAATTAAAATCAATAAGGGAGAAAGAAATTCAGGCAGACACACAGACACTTGTGTCAATTTGTAAATTACGCTGGGTTTTCGAGGGAAACAGCAACAAACTGTCTCACTTTTAACCATTTTTTCTTTTTTTTTTCGTTTTCGAGCTGGTTATATATATTTTTTAAATAAATGTCACCCACGTAGACCCCGGGGCTGACTTTGTCCCAGCGATTTGAGTGGCTTTTTGTGAGCTGGCCGAGTGTCAATGTTTGATTACTTGGCTGACTGCTGCCTGCATGTTGCTGCAACACGCAAACTGTTCAAACATTTAATCTGACAACCGACAAACCGAAGATGTTACAGCCCCAGTCCCAATGGATCTCCAGCTCATCCAATCCGCGATCGATCTCCGATCGTATCCCCCAGCTGTGTTTGGCCCACAAATATATATAGCGAGTATATATTCTCCTGGCTGGAAAGTGTTTCACTTGAGATTTAGCATTGAGCCAGGGAGTTTGCTTAGCTGTTTTCTCGGGGCGCAAAAAAATAAGCGAATATAGTGTACCTTTGGGTTTTCCCTCGTCCGAGAGGGGGATTGTTGTCGTCACCTGTACAACAAATATTTGAGCACTCACAAATCTAGTTTAATTCATGTTGCCACTGAGAATTTGGCTCAGGCACACATACAGCGTGTCTATCTATATATATATAGCTATTCTTTTCAGATTTTGCTAGGCACAGGCTGTATAAATATATGGGACAATTTGGGCATTACCATGACTCGCTTTCTTAGAATGTGTATTAATTCTTTGCTATTTTCCTTTGTTTTTTTGCAGTGCAAACAGTGTGGCAAGAGCTTCAAGCGTTCATCCACCTTGTCCACGCATCTGCTCATCCATAGCGACACTCGGCCATATCCCTGCCAATATTGTGGCAAGCGTTTCCATCAAAAGTCGGACATGAAGAAGCATACCTATATACACACAGGTGAGTGGGGTTTTCCGGGGAAATCAAAGCTTTAGGGACAGGGAAATGCAAATATGTCCCAGAACTCACCCCTATATATGCTATATATAGAGTTGAGTGAGATTTCTATCGCCTTTCAATTTGTCTAATTGCTGTAAAGCTCAATTAATAAACCACGAGTATGCCGAGACTAATGTGTTTATTGATTTCCCTTCCGTTTTCAGGTGAGAAGCCTCACAAGTGCACCGTGTGCCTGAAGGCCTTCAGCCAGAGTTCCAACCTGATCACGCACATGAGGAAGCACACTGGGTACAAGCCTTTCGGGTGTGGACTCTGTGATCAATCCTTCCAGCGGAAGGTGGATCTGCGACGTCATCGGGAGAGCCGGCATGAGGAGGCGCCGCTGGAGGACATTAAGCCCCAGGATCTTATGCCCCTCAAGATGGAGGTGAGCAGCAGCAGTTGCTGACCCAGATCCTGTTCTGGATCCAAGTATTAGCTAAGGACACCCCCAGAAAAGAGAGAGACACACACACACACAGTTGGCCCCATTGTCTAAGTCGCTGCTAAGAAGCCAAAGTTTGTTTTGTTTAGGCCTCCGCAAAGATTTATCTAGAAATAAGCTCTATTTGTTATACACATTCCAACTAAGATTCCGCTCAATTGTAGTCCGTAAGCCTGTACATAATACCTATGATTAGTTATGGAAACAAGACTTTCTTTTAGATCGTAACTAACTTAATAAGTAATCTAATTTATTGCATTAACCTGTAACGATTTGGTTTAAACTTAACCCAAAATTGGCAGCTAAACGTACCAAAGAACACCAACAACCAACGAATGAAAAATACCACTTGGCGACCACTTGTCCAAATTCAGTATCCTTTCCCCCCAATTATTTATAAACAATTAATATTTGCGAATGTTTTTTTAGTTTACTTTTAATTTGTAGCATAACCCAATGATTTCTTTATTGTATTTATGTTTAATTAGAGAGCGTATGATTTTTTGGAAAATAAAATTGAAAGCTAAAAGAGAATTAACTGATTGATTTTTTTGGGTAGTGTGATTTTAGGGGGTGTTATCATTAAGTTATCTTTTTTTTTTAAATTTAAGATTATTTTCCCTAAAAGAGATAGTTAAAAACCTCTTCTAAGTGGGCTAAATATTTCATTTCAAGTAGCAACCCCCTTTACTCTCTCAGCGCAGACATTCTTAAGGAATCAAGGACACTGCCTCCTCCTTAAAAGACCCACATTTTGTTACAAATTGTCCAAAGCTCTCCAAATATTTCCTTTTTTAGGGGGAGACTTCTCCCAAAAACCTGATTTTATAGACAAATGCCAGCACGTACTCGATTGATCGGTGGAATAAGTTGCTCCTGTTTTCGGGTGACGCGGTTATCTTTGATCTGTGGCCAAAATGGCATTTCGGGAATGTCCTTTTGTAAGCCGCCGCATTACAGCAGGTAACCCACCAGGTAAAGCACCACCAACCCTTTCCCTTTCCCCCTTGGGGAAAACGCCAATAAGTGTTCGAAGTTCGAACTAATTGCTGGCAAAATAAAGTGAGAAACAGAGAGGGGGGAGGGGAGAAATGATCATCGAGGACTGCTGCTGATCGCAATTTTCGGTAATCGAAATGTCCGAATGCATTTTGCGGCACTTTAAAACGCCCGAAATGAAGTTTGGCAGTTTACAAATCACCGACTTCCCTCATTATCGCCATTCATTGAGTGAGCCGCAATCAGAAATCGAAGAAATCAACAAAAATCAGCGATCCCCATGCCGCAGGATTTCACTTGGGCTCCAAAAAAAAACCCGATTTGTCGGTCCTGTGTTCTTGCCTCTTTGGCACGCCACAAATTGATCGAAATTGACAAAATATTGAAGAAAAAGGAAACTGGAAAGGGAAGGAGCGGCACAAGTATGCAGTTCAATTGTTGGCCAGGAAAAATGCAGTTCAAGGACTTGTCGCCAAGTGCCGACAAAGTGAGGCTCAAAACCCATAAAGAATGTAGAGCCCGATGCCATAGATGCTGCTTTTGCATAGGAATGACAGGTGGGCAATAAGCCCTGCCAAGGTCAACGTATAGAAAGGATAAAAGATCGAAGAGCTTAGCAAGTCCTTCATTAAATTTTGATTAAATATAAACTAATATTACTGAGGAAAGTGATTCCTTAGAGCACTTTCAGGGCTTTTCTAAGTTCTGGAAGTGGATTTTCATAAGGATAAGTTAATTAATTAAGATTTAGGTATGAATATACTTCTATAAAGTTGTCATTACCATCTCAAAACCTTATTTTGTATAGGGTATATTCCCCCAAATTGCTGTCTTGCACTTCAAACCCGATTAGATATAGGAGATACATCGTCGCAGCCATATGCTTGAGTTTCTCCGCAGCGGTGACTCTCGGTTTATTAACCCCTTTTTCCGCATAACACCTGAGCCCACATAATTTGTCATGCCGTTTGGAATTTATTCAACAGTTAGCTCTCCTCCAGCTCGCAGGCCAAGCCCCCATGAAAAAAAAAAAAAAAAAATGAAAATAAAATAAAAAGTATGGCTATCAAGAGGCTACGAAAGCTGCAAACAATGGAAAACCCACTAAGGGAGGGGAAAATGTGAAAAGGAAATTGATCTTAGAAGTGGTCTTTGAGACGGGGCACCCGGCATGTTGCGGGTCCTGTCTAGAATCGAATCGAATCGGATGGGTTTCTGTTCCGTTTTCCGGCTACCCTTAGCTCTTGGTGCCCAGGCAGGTGACTTTTGACTTTGGCTATTAATAAAAATAATAGTTGCGGCTAAAAAAAAAAAAACACAACACAACACAAAATACAGAAGACAGAAAAAGGTGAAGGAGCCCCGGCCAAGAGCAAGGGCAAAAAAGATGTCTTAGGTCAGTTGAGTTGCAGGTGAAGCCGGCTCTTGGCTCTTGGCTCTCGTCGCACAATTAAAATGCGGAGGGGATGCAACCAAAAAAGGCACCTGTAACGCACAGATAGAGGGAGATGGCTGGCGATCGGGGATGGGCTCAAGAAAAAGGAGCAGCGGCTCAACATTACATCGGCTCATTTATGTTTATGTCCTTTCGTTGTAAGCAGCAGCCTGGCGCTGATTCCGGATTCCCTCCAGCCGCATTGAGCACCTGCTGCTGCTGCTGCTGCTGCCGCTTCTTCTGGCGGTTGAATTGGAATTGGAATCCTGGAACCTGTCGCACAATTATTGAGCCAGGACGAGACGCGTGCTCAAAGCCGGTTTGCGGTGCAAAAAAAAAAGCCATATGCCAGGAGGCAAATTACAACGGCGACCTGCAACCAGTTGACATGGGCCACACGACACCGGCAAAACACACATCTTCAACAGCAGCAGCCATACACAGAAAAGAAAAGAAGATCAAAAAGGATATACTAATATATATATATATCCTAATAAAGTTATAAACAAGTTAAGTGATTTATAAGCTGATTATTTGAAGCTTTTATTAAGAGATGGTTTAAAAACTCTTTCTTTAATTGAAAGTATTTTCACTGGAAATCGATGTACTCTTGCCTGATTTCTCTCAGTGACACAGAAGCCAAAAGATGCAACAGTCGTAAAAATCTCTCCCCCTGGACAGCACAGACAGATCGACCGCAGAAAACATCCGAGATCTGCATCTAATCTGGGCCCCAGGGGATGCAAGTGCCACAAGCTGTCGCTGGGCGAAGGTGCAACCAATGCTGCCGCCGCTGCACCTGTCATGCTCGATCGATATTACAAGATCGTTCGACCAAAAGTGACCCAATTTCAATGGACAGTCGTTGTCGTCCTGCCTTCGAAAAGAGTGAGTGATACGTTATGATTGTCGTCTGCTTTTGTTTGATTGAGCATTGTCACCTGGCTGGGGATTGAGAATTGATTGTTAGAGGGAAGTATATATGATTTTAATGGACACTTAAGGGCAGGTGAACTGCCTGCATATGGTGTAATAAAAATATGAAGAAGTCCCTTTGATTGTTAAGTCATTTTTCGTGTCCTTACAGTAGTCATATTTTGATTAGGAACGGGTGTCTTTTTGTAGGTTTTAAATGACTCTTTGCTATATTATATAATGTGATATAACTTAAGATATGTTTCCTATAAAAGGAACCCTACTTAAAAGATCTGTTAGAGCTACACTCCAACCTCAGTTGGTCATTTCCCTTTCCTGGTTGAGATTGGACTTTCCTCTTACCAAGGAGCCTCGCTGACTGAGGCCAAGACGGACCAAGTTCGCTGGCCAAATCGGAAGCCATTAGAGTGCCGTGTCAACGACTATAGTCTGCAAGTTGACGATTAGTCTCCTCCAACCCTGCCAAGCAAATCTTAAGCTGTTTCGATTTGAGTCCAGAGGACAAATCCAAGTCAAATATGCATGGAAATCAACCCTCGGCTGGGAAATCTATTTCCACAGCTTTTGCAGCTTAATTGGCAGCAAAGAAGGCCAGAACAAGCGATGACCAACCAATCCAGGGAGCTTAGGAAAGGGTTGCTCAACGACAAAGACAAAGCCAGAGGCAAGTCAAACCAAACCAAAACAAAACAAAACAAAGCCGAGACTCGGGCAATTAAAACGACAAAATCTAAACACGAAATTTGTACGGATTTTGTGAGAAAAGGTGCAAAAACCAAAAGGTAGAGAAGAGGGAAGACCCTCGAGTGCCGGAGACACCGATCTCAAGGTGTTTTCCAGCTTCGTCCCGAAAACACACACAGATTATAGACAGATTTCGAGGCGGCAGCAGACGAAGGAGGCTCACACAATGGACAACAAATTGCGGCCGAGGATGCAACATTTAGGGATCAGGGAGCATCATCAGCAGGTTAAGGACGCAAGCCAGCCAAAGTCATTATGAGAATTTAAGCGCACCTTTCGTTTTGTTATGGAACAGGGATTCGAATTCGAGTTGAGACTCCGATTCGGGGCGACAGGTGCTCGCCAGATAAGAGCACAGTGCGCATAGCGGTAGATGATTCGGATCGGTTTGGAGTGGATCGTTATCCTGGCTGGTCCTGCTGCTGCTGGTCCTTCTGCTCCTGCTGCTGCTGCTGTGCCAGATTCTGACGTCCAGCAGGGGCTGACCAAATTAATTCCTTGCCATATTTTATAATTCAACAGATGACACGAGCCAAGCCGAGGGCTTCGAGTAGCTTTGGCACGAGGGTCCGCAGCTTGATTGGTCTCTCGGTTCCCCGTTCGATGCCTTTGGGGTGTTCTTTGGTCAAGATCCCGATCCCGATCCCGATCCCGATCCCAGTCCCGGTTCGATTCGAGCGGCTTGTTTGTGGCACAGGCCACATATGCCACGCATCCAGGGACCTTTGCCGAGCGGCTTTTAGATGACTCTACTTAAGGGTTATATGGATTTTGTGGTCAAGTTTGAAAAACGAAAAGATTCTCAACTTGTTTAGGATTAATTTTACATAAGTTAACTTGAACTCCTTACTGTTCTTTTTGTATTATTTTAATTTCTTACTTTAAAGCTAAAGTGTATTTCCCATTGTCATATGCTGAAACCATATTCTTTGGTCTTTTGTTATTTAACCGAGGATTTTTGATCAGCTTGAGGTTCTACCGACTTGACCCCTTTGGGCATAGCTTAGTTTGTTTGAAAGTGCAACAGTTCTTTGATAAAAAAGCAGTTTGTTGAACTCGATCAATTTAAAGAGAGAGGAAGGGTTCTTCCCCTCGGGGCATAAAACGACAACGACCTTTTGTCTATGCGATCTGCAGAAGTCAAAACCTTTTGCTCAGGGGTTGCAACTTGCAAGTCGTCCTAACTGCATTTTTGGCAAAGAACAGTTACGAGTTACGGGCTGCCATCGAGGACCTACAGGTGGAAATCCTCCACTTGTCACACTAATTTCCCAGAGTTCGAGTTCGGCTTTTGTTTGAGGACCCCGATGGCTGCACTTTCACAGTTGCCGCTGTGCCCTCCTTAATTTGATGTCAGCTTTGGCCAGGTTTTTTTATTTTGGCCAGTTTGGGCCAGTCTTTGGCTTCTGGGGTCGTTTGCCCGAATGAAATGTTGGCAAACAAACACATAATTAGCCGATAGAGATACCAGGCAGCAGGAGCAACATCAGAGGAGGCATTGAACTTGGTCACAAGGATCATTAGAGGGACACACTTGCAGTAGTAGTTGACAGTTGAATGAACCAAAGAGTGTCCAGAGTTCGACGATCAAGTGAAAGGATAACAACAACAGGAACTCTTACGAAATGTATACTTCAGAATGGATGCAAGTATCTGTTGTCCTTCATATTAACAAATGGATATTAAAAAATTATAATTAAACATATTTTAAAATAATTAGATGTCATAAATAAAATATAAAAGTATTCTTATCAAGGCAGAAGGTTTTCCAGAACTCCATTTCGAAATTGCGTCTTTCTTTCATTTTTAAATAAAATTAAAGAATAAATTAATACGTTTCTATGGTATCTTTAAATGATATTTCATCTATTTTATAAGATATCTATTCTATACTTATTCAAAAATAATTTTTAAATACTGACTGTGTAAAATGTTGCAGCGCTTTGTGTGAACTGTAAACAACCCGTATTTGGTGCGTGTCGAATTTTAAACTACTTTTTACATGTACAATTTGACTCTTCACTCGTGTTAAACGCGTATGTAAAAAATGTACCTGTGCAACATGTTGCATGAGCTGTTCAACATGTTCCTAGCTGTCGATTAGCAACTTTTTCATGGAAATCTGCTTTAATCCACACATATTTTTGTATGATTGTAATGTTTAAAATAAATTCAAAGGAATCACCAGAATTTAACGATTTCAATAATTAGTCCGTTAAGTTTCAAATATAAATTCCGCAAAGTGGTCACACTGAAATTAGTCATATCGATATTTTTGATCGATTCTGTGGTTTTATTGTCGCACTATGCTGCGGTCACACTCGTGCTTGGGACGCAATTTATTTTGAAAATTTCAAACGCCAGCGGTCAAAGCAACCAAGTATTTTTGTGAAAATTATAGACGACAGCCAATTCCGACATGAAAGGCGACAAGCAGGGACTCTTTAGCGATCCGGCGCTGGAGCGCCACTTCACTGGCCACGCGGGCGGCATTACGCAGCTGCGCTTCAGCCCAGAGGGCACGCAGATCGCCACCTCGTCATCGGACTCCTCCGTGATCCTGTGGAATCTAAACCAGGCAGCCCGCTGCATTCGTTTCGGCTCGCACTCGTCGGCCGTGAATGGTGTAGCCTGGTCGCCCACGGGCAACCTGGTGGCCTCCGCCGGCCACGATCGCACCGTCAAGATTTGGGAACCAAAGGTGCGCGGCGTCTCGGGAGAATTTGTGGCACACAGCAAGCCGGTGCGAAGCGTGGACTTTGATAATACAGGACACTTGATGCTGACCGCCTCCGACGACAAGTCCGTGAAGCTGTGGCGCGTCCATCGGCGCCAGTTCATGGCCTCCTTTTCCCAGCAGACCAACTGGGTGCGCTCGGCCAAGTTCAGTCCGAATGGGAAGCTGGTGGCCACCGTCAGTGACGACAAGTCACTCCGCATATACGATATAGAGAGCGGCGAATGTGTGCGCACATTCACCGAGGAGCGAGCTGCCCCGCGTCAGGTGGCCTGGCATCCATGGGGCAACATGGTGGCCGTCGCCCTTGGCTGTAACCGCATTAAGATCTTTGATGTGTCCGCTAGCCAGTTACTGCAGCTTTATGTGGTGCACTCGGCGCCGGTCAACGATGTGGCCTTCCATCCGAGCGGACACTTCTTGCTCTCTGGCAGCGATGACTGCACCATCCGCATCCTGGACCTGCTTGAGGGCAGACCCATCTACACACTTAAAGGCCACACGGACGCAGTGAATGCGGTGGCCTTCACCCGAGATGGAGACAAGTTTGCCACTGGCGGTAACGATCGCCAGGTAAGAAATTCCGTTTCCCTAGATCGGTTCCCTATATTTCTTTGGTAAATTGCAGCTCCTGGTGTGGCAGTCAAACCTACATACATACGATGCCTCGCAGTTTGAAGCCAAGTCTGCCATGGCCTCCTCCGGCTGTGACACTAGCGCCGCATCCTCCTCCTCAAAGCAGAGCCTGCTCAGCGGCACCTCGAAGTCCAATGATCTAAGCATACGCATCGATCCTCGCCAGTCGCTGGCCTATCAGCTGTCGGACGATAATTTCCAGGTGCTTGATAGCAAACACTTGCACCACCCACATAGCGAACCAAGCGCCGAGCTGCCGGATCTGGAGTTCAAGAACCGCAGCGCCAGTCCGCGTTTTTTCTAAACAAACGTTTCACTTAACCTCTGCCGCACATAACCAGCCCGACCTTCCGCAGGTGGTGGACGTGTCTCTGGAGTCCGGTTCGGAATCCTGTTCGTGCTCGGCGCAGTTGGACGAGATAACCAAGCTGCTAGAACTGATCGATGAGCGTGTGCGGCGTTTAGAGGGCATATACTCTTTGTAGCTAATTAAGTACGTTTATACACTAGTATTTAACCCTATTTTGATGATGGTTTTGGGATATATGCCATACTTAAAAGACCTAGACAAATATGTATGTTTTTGTACATTTTATTTCATGATGTATACACGGTTAATCCTTGTAACGATGCACGATTACAATGGTCTTGTAGGCTGTTGCTGTGGCCAACTGGATGGCCAGTATGACGAGAGCTGTTACAAAAGTTGACTGCATCCTGAGATATCCTTTGGAACAACGATTTGTGCAACTAAATTAAGACTGGTGCTATCGAGAGCTGTGATTAACTAGAGCGGTAACAAACCCTTTTATACCCACCTGCTGGGATTTAATCTCTCGTATTTGGCAAATACTAAACATTAATTCTGGTTAGGATTTCCGTATAAATAGAATTATGTAAACCATTAAATGTCAATAATTCGGACGATTTCCTCACGAGACAGTTTCAAACGAAAACATTTGTCTCTGGCAAACAAAACATAAATATTAACAAACACATATGGTACCGGTTCAGGTATTATTTGAACACAGCCGTCAATGATTGACAGACTGACTATTCAATAACTTCCATACTTTACAATAAACATTACATACAAGCGTAACTTTAAAAGATTAAATTAATTAATTAAATTTGAAGAAAACTGTTAAAATTTGAATTATCACATTTTTTGTGTAACAGTTCCTGAGCAGACTGCTAAGTGTTATCGAGTCATCGATAGTATCGGTAGTCGGCCGGTAATCTTATCCACCTGTAGTGTCATCGCTAGCACAAAGTAAAATAAACAAATCAAAAGGAGAAAGTGGCCGTTGCTGCATTTTAAACATTGAAGTTTTGGAAACGCCACAATGCGCGACTGGATGCCATTGCTATTCTGCGGCCTCTCCGTGCCCCTCTCCCTGTTCATGTGGCTGGGCAACGTGGCCATATCCCGGCTCTGGAGCACCGACTTTGAAGGTAAGCTATCCGTATTTAGATTTTAATCGTTGACCAGGTGAACTAATGTCCAGGGGTTATCTCTCTCTCGCACACAGAGTCGCGGGTGATTCCGCCGGTGCGTTGGCTTTTCTCAACGATGGCGCCTCTGGCTCTCATGACGGTGGCGCTGAAGCGGCGAAGCGTCAACCGATCGGGGGCCGCACTGGGCATCCTTGTGGCCTTCGTGCTGTCCATCGCCAGCCATCCGTTCTTCGCCAGCCTGGTGGTATTCTTCTTCAGCTCTTCGCGTGCCACCAAGTTCCGGGCGCATATGAAGCGGCGCTTTGAGAGCGATTTCCGTGAAGGTGAGGGCCAACGCAATTGGGTACAGGTGCTTTGTAATGGTGGCATGGCCTCCCAGCTAGCCCTGCTTTATCTGCTGGACTGCGGCAGCGGAGAGCGGACCGTGGACTTTGCCAGGGAGTACCGCTCCAGCTGGCTGGGTGTGGCCGTGATGAGTGCCTTCGCCTGCTGCAATGGGGACACCTGGTCCAGCGAACTGGGAAGTGTGCTTTCGCACCGGGATCCGGTCTCAATCCTTACCTGGCGACGCGTGCCGCGCGGCACCAATGGTGGTGTATCGCTGGCCGGAATAGCTGTGAGTTTGCTGGGCGGATTACTTGTGGGTTTCGGCTACTTTGTCACCGTACGTTACACTGTGGAAGCCAAGATGCTGCTGGTCAGTCCACCGCAGTGGCCAATCATTGTGTTTGGCGGTATTGCTGGTCTTTTTGGATCTCTGCTCGACTCTGTTCTGGGCGGCCTGCTACAGTATTCGGGCATTAAGGAGGACGGCAAGATTGTGGACGCGCCCGGCAAGGGGGTGCGACACGTGAGCGGACTGCGCATCCTGGACAATCACAGTGTTAACCTCATATCCAGCATTGTCACCGGCGTCACCATACCCGTCCTGGCCCAGAAGTACTGGCCTGTGCGCTAAGCACGCTTCTCTGTTGTCTGTTACTCACTATTAGTAAGCCTTCCTAGCCCCGCTAAAGAAATATCTATCCCACATGCTAAAAAATCGGCTGGAATCGTCGCTTTATAGCTAATTTGTTAACACTTAGTAATAAGTCCTTGAGATTTGTGAGGTATTTTTTTTAATTTATCACTCCAAAGGGGCTGCCTCTACATGGTAGATATATTTTTGTAAAACTTCCACGGCGCCAAGCGAACTAACTGACTAAAATGAAGACTTGAACTAGGAACAACAACGACTGGACAGACGCAGCGGGATGGGTTAAGGCAATATAAGCTATAATGTATCTTAAGCTAAGGTAGATCGCCACAGATGTATGTATGTTCCTCAGGGTTTAACTTTGTTAATTCTGAGTAAAAGCCCCTGCGACTGTCCATTTAGATTATAAATAAAAATAACTATTAAAAGCTGACCTTGAAGTTAGCAATTATAAAAATTGTTTAGGTACCTGGAGAATTCTAATGAATGACTTCATGTTTCCAAATTTAGACCATTTCAAACGTGCCACATTATTTGTTTTCTTAATTCCGCAAAACATTCATTGAATTGAAATGCAACAATTATAGATGACCTCTGATGTGAAAGCTCCACATTCCATTGCTTTTACTCATTGCAAGGCATTACGTTGGCGCTTAAAACCACTGAAAGTCGTATTTTAATAAATTTTCAGGTATTTAGAATATAAAGCAATGGTTTATATACACTAGAAGGGTATAATAATTTCAATTCTTTAATCTTTTTGTATTTTATTGGATCTTTTAAGTTTCTGTAGCTCCAAATTGCGAATCAGGTTCTGGGACAAGGCACGCAGGGCCTCGCTGGAGGAACTGGATGAGCTGGGTGAGCTGACCGCACCACCTGGAGTAGCTGGCTTGGCAAATCCAATGGAGAACTTGATCATAAGGTCACCGATGGGTGAGTTAATGAATTGCGAACCCGTAGAAATGGTCTTGAAGATGATGCGCCGCTTGTGCTGGTAGACCTGAGGATCTGCAGGAAATCCTACAGGTGGCCTGCCACTGATCCTGGGCCTTGGAGTAGTGGTGCTGGAGGATGGCGTCGATTCCGTGGTGCTGCTGGTCTGGTTCATAGTCTTGGTCGTCACTCTGGGCTGGGCGGAGGTTCTGGGTCTTGTGGTTCGGGGCTGGGCAGTGGTGCGACGCCTGTGCGGTCTGCGAGTGGTGCTGGTTGGTGGACTTAGCTGAGGTGCCTGGTAGCCCGTTTCAGGCTGATCCTGCTCCTCCTCTTGGACACCTGCCAATGCATCTGGTTTCTCGGGATCACCGGGATATCCCTGATCCGTCTGATCCTGCTCGTCATCGTAGTCATCCTCCTGCAAGTCACCAACACCATCTCCTCGATGCACATCAGAGAAAAGAGGCGGTTGGTGCGGCGGCTGCTGGTCACGTCTCTCCTGCTTCTCGCGTTGCTCGTACACGGGATCATTGGGAGCCGAGGAGGCCAGGACCTGCTCCATTTGTTTCTGTAGTATCTCATAGAGTGGGGTGTTCTGCTCATCGTCCAACACCTCGACGGGTTCACTGGGTACAAACTGATTGTTAACATAGGCACTTCGCCCGTCCAGGTCTTCGTCCACTTCCAGGACATCGTCCTTGCGGGATCGAGACTCGGTCTGCAGCTGATCTTGCGGCGGATGGGTTACATCTTCGGTGACTTCCGTTGGTGCGGCTTGAATGGAGAGTAGAACTGGAAGATATTTATAGTTGGTTAGTTAGAAAACCTCTACAGGATTAAAATTTTATTTAGTTTCTGTGCAAACTCACCTCCGCTTAGCAGGATTAGTAGCTGCATCTTCAAGATGCTAGTTGCAACACCTCTGGCTCCCATTGCAGTTGGATGACTTCTGGTAAATGGGACACACATCCAGAGGCCTTTTATAGGCGGCTGCTGACAAGCCACCTGTGGCTTGGTGCATCCCACGCCCAATTAGTTTTTAGGTTTAGTGCCTGGCTCTGGATGATGGCCCTTTTCAAGCTTCCGATATCGCTTGGGTTGTCAGTCATCATCAGTTTATAGAACTTGTTTCTAAGGGTCAATGCACTTCCAGCAACTGCATTGAAATGAGAATTCAAATCGCTTAAATTTAAGAAGGAGAAATGACTTAAGAAAATAGTTTAATTGTGGTATTTATTTGTTTATATGGAAACATAAGAAAAAAGTATAGAAAGTTTTAGATAAAACTAAGAAACTTCTTTTCTCTGTACAGATTTATAATAAATTAGCTGGCAGCAGAGTCTTGCAATTGTTAACAAATAAGTTAAAATCCTAGATAAAAATGACTATTCTAAAAGCTTTTCTTAAATACGAAAAATGCCTTGTTAGCGCCGCAAAGTTTAATTGCTGCTGTTACTAATAACAAACTTATAAAAATAATAATAATATAATATTGTGGCATTTATATTAGCAAAGTTAGCATATATTTTGTAAAAATATTGATATATATATATCAAAACTCAAGAAATTCGTTTTAAGAATATTACCAAAGCCCTTTTTAACAAATGCTGCCAGAGACAAATTATTTGTGCTTTCCAGGAAGCTCCCTTTTTGCATAAAACACTTTAGTTAAGTTATTTGTTTTTATTGTAATAAATTAAATAAATAATATGTCATAAGTGAGATTCCATTCTAATCCTAAACTACAAAATACTTGAGCTTATCATTGTCCTTGGCCTTAGGTTGAGCCTGCTCCTTAAGGGCAGCGATCTCCAGAGGTTTGGGAGTGGGAGTGTCCTTCAAGGGCATGGGAGGCAGGGCGATCTCCTCGGGGTCTTTGCGGTCTCTTTAACAGCAACCACGGGAACTGGGACAGGGGCTGGAGCTGGGACCGGGACTGGTGACATGGGAGTCTCCACTGGCTTCTGCAGGGTCAAGGGCTCCTCCACTTTTTGCTTGTGATCCTCCTGCTCCTCACTGCTCTCACCGCTCTCCTTCTTCTTTTTCTTCTCTGCCTTTTCTCGCTTCTTCTGCTCTTTTTCTATCCTCTGCTTTTCCTCCTCCGCCTTCTTCTGCTCCTCCTCCAGCCTCTGTTGCTCAACAAGAGCCGCATCCCGGAAGTAAGGGGAAGCCCGGAACTTGGTGTCCGCATGGGCAGTCTCCTGGGGATACTTTTCTTGGCACTCGGCGTAAGAGAAGTCTGCCCAGAGGCCATGGGATCGGCACTTGGCCACGTTCAGCTTGCACCTATTGTAGAAGACGGCCACCTCGGAGGATGTCTTGCCGCAGATGGGATCATAAAGGTCCTGGCAGTCGTCGTCGCACAGATAACCCTCACTCAGGGACTGGGCGGCACTGTTGATGGCAGCCGAATTGGCAGTCTGGCAATCCTTCTGGCCCGGCTGACAGCTGAACCAGGCAATGGGTATGGCCAGGTAGGGCGGACTCATCCGCTTCCTGGCGACTCCGTTCTCTCCAGCCGCTCCGTAGGTGCGCTTTACATAGTAGCCATGCTCCTCGGTGGACACCTGACTATTGCCAGCCAGGTTTGTGGAAGTGGACCACTTGGTCTTGGTCTTGGTCTTGTGGGGATCGAACTTGTCGTGGTCATGGTGGTGGTCAGAACCCTTGTGCTTGCGCCTCCTCGCTTCCGTGGGCGCCACACCCAGGACTAGTAAGGCGGCCACTGCAAAGGGGAAATTCTGGTGAGATCACCAAGGAAATAGGGTTTTTGTGGCGATGCCTTACCGAAGATACAGGCTGCTTGGAACGGTCTCATGTTGATCTGGTCAGCTGCTCGTCTCCACAACAACTGATCGCATCTTCTGGCGAACGGCGGCTTAAGTACCACCAAAGACCTGGCCAGGGGGAATTCTTTCCGGGCTTACCGGTTTTCTGGGAGAGCTCTTGGTTTGTTTACTCTTCGCGCAGCTCCGAGATGTCCCCCCGCCGAACGAACGAAAGTACGCAAAAGTTTTCGGTACTGCCCAAGCATCATCGTATTTGGTGAAATTTTATGCAAACTCATGTGGTCTCGGTCTGTGGACCCTTTTACGTCGACGATAGCCATCTAGAATGGCTGGGCTTGGACTTTTAGGAACTGGTTGTGTGTGTGTGTGTGTTTAACACCTTCGCTGCTCTGCCCTCCATTCGTTTGGCGGCAGCCGGTTCTCCGGAATTGGGTCAATCTGGAAAGGTTCGGTGATCTGGTTTGTTATTTTACGAGGTTCTTCTGGCCGCAATAGCCGGCGGCCGGCAGCTGCACTCGCTGCCAAGGAAATCCACATCCAATCAAGCTTTGTTATTCTGTCGATCTCGGTTAATCTCTGTCGATCCACGATCTCTGTGAGATATCATTTCCCTTGCTGGTAATTGTATTCTTAATTAGAGCGCGTTCAAGTGAGATCTCTCTCTGTGATGGAAGATTGATCTTTGCAGCTGGAGGATCAGCTTACAGACCATTAAATGGGTTTTTATTGGATTCAACTTAGTTATGATCGATTTCCGATACTATCCTATAATTCAATTAGAAACTGCAAAAGGTACATAAACTTTGGCTTCCCAAAGTTAGTTTCCTTTCTTCTTAATTGTTAATTTTTATAGTAAAAGTATATACTGCCTCCATTAACCCCTTTCCCTCACAGATCTCTCCAAAGATTTTCGATCGCTGAATATATTGGTTGATTAAGCCATTAAAGGCATCCATAATTGCATTTATTATTACCACCATCGCTTTGATGACTCATCCCAGCTCGTGATCACTTCTTGTTTGATTTTGAAGCGTAGTTCCATGGAAAAGTTTTCAAATTTCCCATTAGCATTAGAAAGTTAACCCATCTCTTCGATGCACTGCTCGCTCGGGTTTTTTGGGGAAGTTGGGGGCGATCGAATCTACGTAAATCGAATCGAATTCGAAGCCATGTCCAATTACATAATTAGGGCTTTGACCGCGGATCCAAGAAAGGGTGAGACTTAACGATCTTGTAAGTGGTTTTGCATATGGCCCATCGCCAAATGGCGCTAATGGGTCCAGTAAATAGAGCCCAGCTTTTGAACACAAATAGATGGCTTTAATGAAAGAAGCTACCAGAAAGACAGAAAATTTAAATAAATGATTTCGGTTTCTTTAGAGTCTGTCTCTCCACCAAACAGGTAAACAAAAGAAGTTGGACAAAAGTAAAAAAGAGATGCTATGGAGCTGGATGCTGGAGAAAGAAACCCAAGAAGAGAGCTCTTGGGCTCCAGAGAGAAGAGCTCTCGGGATCGATACGCCTTGTTTACTCGCTTTTTACTTTCATTTTTGAGGGGGCTATAAAAAGCGAAAGCAGAGCGCTGGATTCGCTCATAAAGACCGCAAAACTGCAAAAGTCCACTACGAAGTCAGCCCCTGAACTAAAGGATTAGCACCATGGTTAGACCCATCTACCTGGCCCTCGGTGAGCACTAAATCTCATTGCAGGTCTAAGTCATATGTTCGCTAATCTCTCGTCTCTCCCAATAAACAGCTGCCCTGCTCGTCTTGACCTGCTCGGTGAGAGCAGCTCCCGTGGCGGAGTCTGAGATCGATGCCAGTCCCGAGTTCCCAGCCTCCAGGCAGGCTGTTCAGGACAAGTTGGAGGAAGAGCAGATCCACAATTCGAGTGCGGACAGCAGTGAGGAGAACGATGATGATGATGACGATGAGGAGGAAGCTTCTCCCAACAAGGCAGCCGAGGAGAGCAAGGAGGAGGATGATGATGATGAAGATAATGACGATGAGAACGACGATGACGATGATGATGATGATTCCCTGATACGACGACGTCGCGAGGCGGAGACCACCGAGCAACCGGCAGAGGAGACAGTCACTGAAACTCCCACCGAGGATCAGAAGGTGGATGCCACCACTGCGCCCGTGGCTGCTCCTGTGCGGAAGCCCGTGCTCGTGCTCATCCGTGATGCCCTAAAGAAGGTCACCACCGATCTGCCCACCGCCCAGGTGGCCAACAATGCCTTGCAGTATTTTCAGCAGTTCGAGCACTTCATACAGCAGGCCATCGAGGAGGTAATTGGCGACGATGATGACGAGGAGGAGGCTCCGGTGACCATCATTCCACAGACGGAGGCTGAGGCAGGAACGGAATCCATTGCTGAAGAGATTAAGAAGCCCGAAGGGGAGGAGAGCCCAGAGAAAAAGCCAGAGATCATGGCTCCCCTTGAAGTTCCTGAGAAGATGCCTCAGTCGATGGAGTCCACCTCCTCCTCTACTTCAGCTCCCCTGAGCAACGCTGTCTAGATCAGGGATCAAGTTCCATACACATTTCCTCACCTTTCCTCACCTATTTATTGTCAAATATTTATTTGCTAGCTATAAAAAATTGTAGTATAAATGCCATAATCCGAATCCTTAACATGTCTAAATCTTTCTGGCATCCTTACGATCCATTCGCTCCTTCATCGCATAGATGTAACTCTTCAGCTGACTACGATGACGATTGGTGGTCCTTCTCTTGGGCGACTCGATCTTGTTTAGCAATCTATTAAAGTGCGAGTTGGGTGACTTGGTGGAGGGATTTTTCCTGCTCATCGCTCCCGATCCGCCGGGCCGTCGCACCTTATTCAGGGACAGCTCCTGGTCACCAATGGTCAAGGTGAGCGGTTGTTTTCCAGCTGTGCTGATGTAGATAGGGATGGTGATGTAGATGGGCGAACCTGCTGCTGGTGGGGCAACCTTTGGTGGATCCGGTTGGGGCTTGGCGGGTGAAGGTGTCGTTATCTGAAGGATAAATAGGATATATAATTTTATATATTTAAATATGTAATGTTATGTAAATACCTGCTCGGATTTCTCTGGCTGCGAGGACTGAGTCTAAGAGAATTAAGGAGAAATACAAAGATTATATAAATACCAGAAGATAACATATTCCGCTTATTATAAAACAAGTCTTTAAAATGGTAGAATCAAAGGATATACAATTATCACCTGTTTTTCCTCAGAGTTTGGTGACTGCGAGGACTTGAGGAAGTGCAAAGGATTGGCATCCTCGCTGAGGTTACTGTACTCGTCTTCGGTCAAGGCTGGAAGACGATCACGATGGAAGTTGTAGTCCTCCTCCTCGATCTCATGTGCCTGCAATGATGACTTGGCTGTGGGTTTAGCCTCCGACTTGGGTGTGGTTGTGGAGATGGTGGAGACAGAGGACTCTGGCAAGGAAGCTGAAGGGGAAGACTGTAGCAGGATCTTGACATTAATGCCCTGCTGGCTGTCAACAGACTGGGTGACATTCTGGGCTGAGCACAGAAGCGAGAAGAGAAGCAAAGCTAGAAATATGCCAGACATATCAATGTAAACATGCATATTTATTATATGTGGAAAATTTTATAAATAAAACTACTTTAATATCACAAGCGTTGAACCTAACTTTGACTAGTTTTTAAAATAGCAAACCCTGCCTATAATTTGTCTGAGAAAAGTCTGTAAATAACTAATTCTTCTAAGGTTCCTAAGACATTATTTAAAACCCTCTAGAAACTTAGAATATTTTAGTACCAATCGAAAAACAGCCAGTTTTGCGATTTCCATTGTGATATTTTATTTGATAAAATATTACAGCCTAAAACTAACAACTAACTTAAACTAAATGCCCAGCCCTAGCCTATCCCATCGCTCTCCTTCTCCCGTTTCCCGATCTCTGGCGTTTACAGGGTCATCTTTTTGCCGTTGAGGATCATCTCGGTGAGGCCCAGCTGGCGGAATTGCTGCAGTCGCTCCACTTGGTGGCAAAGGCGCTTTTGGAACTGCACCTCCCGGCTCAGTTCCTTTAGTTCATCCACGCTGCTCAGTGGATTGCAGCTTCCCATTTTCTTGGCAATTAGTTCCGAGGTGAGCACAATTTTGGCCCTGGAAAGGCGCAGGTAGGAGAAGTCGGCGTTGGCCCGCTTCAGCTCCTGGCGGTACAGGAACAGTTGGTAGGGAAAGTTCACGGTGGAGGCCTTCCGGCGGAGTTTCTTCAGTGCCCGCTTCTTTTGTTTCTTCAGCGGATCGTGGATCTTCACCTTGTGGAGCTTCTTCTCCGATTTGCTCGACTTGTTGCGGTTCGACGACTTGTGTTGGTCCGACATGATGCTGTTGGGTGAACTTCTCAGAGGCGACTGCGGGCCGCAAAGCGAGACAAGGTCCTTTTAAGGAGGTCCTGGAGCAGGTAGATCCTCCAAGCAGGTAGCTTGAGGTAATTAGCGGGTGCCAGTCACGCGTGTTCATGTCGTAAAGGTATCCGTTCATTCGGTTTTCCAGCGTCCGGGTCATTGGGAATTTCCCCGGCATATTTATGGCTTTATGACTGGCCAGAGATCCAGCTCGGACCCAGACCCGGCTTAGTCCTCAATTATGGCAGCCAACTTAGCGCCGTTCGGCCAGATCCTTTGGGTTTTTGTGGCGATTTTTCCAGCCAAACCCAGCAGGGGATACCATTTTCCATTCGCGGAATTCGTGGACAGTTCTGGAACTCATTGCTTTCGATGGAAATCGGGAGAGAGGCAACCCTGTGTCCCCCTAGAAATTTCTAGCTAACATTTGGTATACCTTAGACCACTTTTTTTCTTTCTTTTATTGTCTTACAGACTGATCCTTGCTGTATCCCTTACACAAAACCCCCAAACACACACGCACCTCCGCAATTAAAGCTCCAAGTTGTCTTCATGTTTCGCGTCTACAAATAATACTGAAACCGCTTTTGGCAAAAGATTTCTATTTTATACCTGGCAAGTCAAAGTTTTTGGCTCGAGAAATTTCACTTGAATGGGAACAATGCGAAGTTCTACCGGCAGAAAATTTGCATATTAATTTCTCAATAGTCTGGCTCTGGCTCCACTTTTCTCTTTCTCTTCCCAGCTATGCAAATTTCAATCTTTTGCCAGCTTTTTGGCCCTACAAAATTTAAACGCCGATGTCGTCATTGATTGTGCCTCTTGTTGGAAGCATTTCAGGGAGGGGCCAGAGTGTGAGGGGGAAAAATCGAATAAATAATGATGATGCGCCACTTTTTCGGTTTATTTTGCATGCATTTTATGATTTTCGAATAGGAGATGGAGGCCAGACTCTTTTCGCCTGAATGCCCAGCAAAAGTTGTAAAGTTCTCTCTATGTATCTCTATCTCGAATCTATTATGCAGAGAGAAAAATTAGAACAAAGGTAGTAGTCAATTAGCTTGAAAATGTATAACTAGATCTTAAAGATCTGAAAGATTTTATAAGGGAGATAAATCTTTGTACAAATAACTTTGCTTTTGAATTTAAATTTAATTTGGAATGGAGTTAAGGGATACTATAAAAGTTACTCCCATTTTATGGACCTTATTTCTCTGTCTGTCTCTCGGTCAGTCGGAATTAGCCCGGATCCTGGGAAAGCCATTGATGGGTCGCCGGCTTCCATTTAAAGTTGAGTTTATTTATCCAGCCGTCAGACGGAGGAGGAGGGTTTCGGGGCATTTCCATTTGACTTGGCTTCGACTGACTTGCATAACATTTCCCTCAATGTCCTTCATCTGTGCATTTGCGGTTTGCGTTTTGTCATTAGACGACGTCTAGACCAGGATTCAGTCAGCCAGGGCCCAGACATCGATATGCCTTCGTTTGCCCCAAGAAGTTGGCTACATAAAATTTTTCGCCATAGGGAAATAGACATTGAAATTGGCAAACGTGCAATGGTGCATCCTTTTGTCCTCGTTCCCAAATCACAGGGTCGATTATATATGGATTTTTGGCAGCATATAAAAACTTGTATTCTCCAGCAAAATTGTCACGAATTTGATTGATCAGTTTATGCTTCCACTTAGCCAAATGAAATATTTTATTTTATTCATCGTTTCCATCAAATTGACCACTTTGATAGGGCATCATTTAATTCTGGTTAACTGTTCCGCATTTTTATGTCTGACCCTTCAGTTTGGGGCTATATTTTACGATCCGTCCTTTATGGATTTCCAATTATAAATGCAGGAAAAGGGGGGGAAAAACTTTTTCATTGCATCCAATCGAACGAACGGCGCAATAATTTTCCAATGCCATTGTGTGTGTGTGTTTGCAATTTGTTAGCCATGAGGCCAATAAATTGGCCAAATATGCGCCATAAAGTGGTTGGAGATGAGAGAAGGCAGTAGATATAACCCACGGGAAGAAAACGCAGGAAGAGATTTCCCTAAAAAAAAAACCACTTGTAATGAAATAAATTGACTTTCATGATGGACCGACCTGCAAATAAACGGCAACTTTTCGCTTCAAATTAAAATCTATATATATATTATATACTTCTTTTTAGGCAGTGGAAGCATCTATTTTTTATTTACACACACAAAATGCAATAAAATACACACGACTAAATTGCTCGCCGCATGGAGTTACTTTGTTTCAATTTATGTACTGACCCTTGTTTTGGCCTGTAAAATGCATTTCACATTTTATTGTGCACTCAATCAAAAATCCATTTCCGTTTGTTTCGAACCGAAACCCCCCACCCCCCACACACACGTGTCCGTCTGTTTCGCCGGGCGGAGTGTGCAGATTCCGGCTCCCGGATCCTGGATCCTGGATCCCGGATCCCAACTGCAGGTGGTAACGCGGACTCCCGGATTGGCAGCCAAAAGTTTGATAATTGAGTTGAAGCCACGCGTTGAAGCTGCGCCCATCTCCCACCTCCAATGCGAGTTCCAGAACCCGTCTATACACAGGGAGAAATTATATTAAAATGGGGAAGTTTGCTAAGTATCAAAAACTAAGCTGTTGACAGTAGAGAGATTCTAATAGGTCTCTTGGCAGAAACTTATCATTTCTCTATTAATTAAATTTTTTCTGAAATTAACAATATTTTTTCTTTATTTTTCTCAGTATATACAGCACCGGGCTGCAATCATCAGCAGCTTTTAGCTGCCCCGTCAGAGGCCTCCTTTTATATGCACAGGACGATTGCAGCGACTCCATTCATGTTGCACGTGCCGCATGGCAATTCAATCGACTGTGTGGGGCAAGGAGTCAACCGAGCGACCAAACAACATCGGATGGATAGCCAGTCGTCCTGGCAGTCCTTCCATCTCCTATACTGCAGTCAAAGTAATGCCATCTCGAGGGAAAGAGGTTTCGGAGCGGAGGGGCAGTTCAATCCCATCGCAGTCGATGAGGGTTAATGGCTGGATATCCCTGTGGTAGTGAGGTCCTTTATTGTGTTTGTGCAGAACCATATGATGGAGTCTTTGAAATGCCGGCAACTGACTTTCAAATGGTTAAATGATGGTCAAACGATGAACGAATTATCCTTACAGGCAAATGGGTCAAGAAGGATGTGTAATTTAGACATCGATATTAGTGCAGCTACGCTCGACATAATGGTGATTTGAGGCTTTCTACGAGGACATTGCTTTAAAGTATCTATACATTTTTAAAGTTTGATGGGATATTAAACAAATTTAAATTGTTTTTAGCATTAAAATATTTCAAATACAGAGAGATCTTATGATATTTTGAACCACAAAATTGTACGAAAACATGGCTGGCATTGTAAAAAAAATTAATAGAATTTTGTCTCTGTTATTTCAATAAATCTCACAACAATTTTAAATTAATACTACCATAACAGCCCAAAGCATTTTTTCTGTTAACAAAATAAGGAAATGCCGTATGGGCACAATATATGCACTTGAGAGCATTCCGAACAAACTACAAAAGAACAAAGAGTAAGCTAGAGAAACCCTTTATATCAAATGCACGAGAACAATAAACAACAAAAAAATGCATTATGCAATAAAAACTAATCAAATAAATAAATAAACAAAAGCTGTGAGGCTGGGAGGCAAATAAAGTGACAAAATAAAGGAAAACAATTGCGAAATAAATGCCACAAACAATTGACAATAAACTACCGACATACAAATAAATGTGCATATATCTCCGTGTGTGTGTGTGTGTATGACCTGATTCGCACACACACACATACGTGTGTGTGTTTGCATGCGTCAAGGATATAAATAAAATGAAAAGAAGCCAGAAGAAGAATGAGGCACAGAGAAATAATAAATAAACTACAGTTCATGTCATGTCAGCGGCGATAGCACCGAAGGAAGAAACAGGACGAAAGAAAAACTACTGACAAAATGAAATCGAGCCGGAGATACACACACACACACACACAGAGAAAGAGATAATAATAAATATGTAGAACAAGTGAAAATGGCCAAAAAGTTGTACAGATGCGTGTAGTTAATTTGATGGCCTCTTTAAGTTGTCCAATTTGTTTGGATGCTCTGAGAAGCAAGGAATTGAAATAGGCCCAGCAAACAAGACCCGACACGCATTCCCACACACACACACACATGTCCTTCTCACAGGACTCCTGAATAAGGATAGTAAGTGAAACAATCTCTGGGGATTTAAAGAAAGCTAGTTTGGGCCTTGAAAAAAATATACTAGTTTATATAAATAATATCCTTGAAAGAGAGTTTTTTGTTGGTTAAGTTTCAGAGGTTTCGGTTGAAGAATTATTGCCTACTTTTCGGTAACTGCGGAAGGGAGTCCTTTTATAGAGAAAGTTTAATCACTGTAAAAGGTTGAATATGTAAGTATTAGGAGGTCAAATATATAATATATCATAACTAAGCCAAAAATGCATTTATTTCAGTTTTTATTAGGGTAACAAATTTGCATACTCAATTTAAAAATTAAAAAAATTCAAATTTTCGTCAATTTTTCACCATTTTAAAATTGTCAAAAAATTTGAAAAAATTAAATTTATGCCGGACCTGGCTAGATCGATTCGGCTGTTGATGCTGATCAAGAATATATATGAATATTAGGATCGGAAATGACTCCTTCACTAAGTTTCAAGCTTTCGACTGAAAGATAGGCTTTGCATAATTATTTGGTACATAGAGCGCTCTCCTCTGCGATTCTCAAGTCTTACACTTAAGCAAGGCTCTAGGTAGAGGAAGTTTAGTTTTCTTCTTCTTCTTTTATATAAATTACTAAATTAGTGCTTGGTGGTTGATAGACTTTGATCAAGTGGATGTGGCAACCATGGATAGATCGAGTCGGCTGTTGATGCTGATCAAGAATATATATGAATAATAGGATCGGAA